AGTAGACTTATTTTATTAGCAGCACTATTATTGGAAGCAGTATTATTGTTGTTTTCAGTAGCAGTACTTGTAATAGAAGCAGTGTTGCTGTTTTTTTTTCCCCAAGAGGACACTAGTAAGAGAAACAGTTCTACTGTTATTTTCAGCAGAAACACTGGTGATAGAAGCAGTGTTCTTGTCACCTGTATGTAATCTGTATGACACCACCATCAGGACTGGAACAGAGAGCTCAGACATGCCTCTGCTCTGTTAGTTGTGAAAGAATCCACACAGCTCAGCTCCTCTGTGCCGAGCGATGTTGTGTAGTTATTGATCAGCTGTAATAGTTAAGGTCAGGTTTTCTCAATCTGGAGTGAGAGGTGAACACTGGGCTGAAGACAGATGACCAGGCACAGAGAGACTGCAGAGCCAGACTGCTGCCCTCAGACACACGAACCAGCTGTCACAGCTGTGCAGCCTACAGCAGCGTGTCCTGGGATGGAGGTGGGATGCTCTCTCCTGTCTCTTTTCCCTTTGCCATTTTCCAGTAAGTCTGGTGGCTGGCACTGGGAAGACCTGTATGTATGAAGATTAAGCCCTCTCTTGTTTTCTCTTCCCTAATTTTCAAGGCTGTCCAGAAGCTGCCAGTGGGAAGACGGGTATGTTTAGAGTTGGGATAGAGGTTGGTTACCCTCTCCTGTGTTTCTTTTCCTGGATGTCCAAAAGAATTGACAGTGGGAAGACAGAGTGGAAGGGGAGTTGGAATGGAGGTGGGAATCCAATTTTTTTTTTTCCAGCCGGTGGGAAGACCAGTGTGGATGGAGTGTTGGGATGGAGGTTGATGCTCTGTCCTGTGTTCATTTCTGTAGTTTTCCAGAATGTCCAATGGGAAGACAACGGGCTGTAACCCTCTCCTGTTTTCTTTTCCTTAACTTTCCAAGATGTCCAGGGGCGGACAGTGGAGAGACAAGTATGGCTGGGATAGAGGTTGATGTTCTCTCCTAGAATCGTTTCCCTGATTTTCTAGGATGTCCATAAAATTGACAGTGGGAGGATGGGTATGGAGGAGGAGTTGGAATGGAGGTTGATGGTCTCTCCCGTCTCTTTTCCCTTATTTTCCAAGATGTCCAGAGGCTGCCAGTGGGAAGACCGGTACGGGTAGGAAGACAGAATGGGGGTTGATGGTCTCTCCTGTCTCCAGCAGTGCCTCCTTCTCTGAGGTGAAACGCCAAAATGTCTGGGGTCAAAGGTCAAGATGGACTCCATTGCGGGGGCAGACGGTGGGAAGACCAGTGTGGATGGAGTGTTGGGATGGAGGATGATGCTTTACCCTGTGTTCATTTCTGTAGTTTTCCAGAATGTCCAGAGGCAGACAGAAGACGGGTTGTCTAGTGACTGACAGTGGGAAGACCAGTATGTATGAGGGGTTGGGATAGAGGTGGGATGCTCTCTCCTGTGATCTTTTCCATTTTCCAGGCTGCCAGTGGGAAGACGGGTATGGCTGACAGTTGGGATAGACGTTGGTTACCCTCTCCTGTAATTTTTTCCCTAATTGTCCAGG